TGGTTGGAGGTTGGGTGTAAGGCTAGTAACCCTGCCCTATTATGTGCACATTGATGTAGGCGGGACCATCTTAAATAGCTTATTTGACAGTCGTGTACTCAATAACCATGTTTTTAAGCGCCACTATTGCAACGTCGCGTTGGTGTCGAGGCTTAGTTTTATTTCACAGAATTGTAAAGTGGTCGATTAGAACTTATATAAGTAAAGTCATCCATTCATGTTTCGAAGAATGTCGATCGTAGGTTCTCCATGTCCATTGTTTTGGTACGGACGTTTGATTTTGACTAATCTACGTTTCAAGCCCTCCCGCAAGATTGTTAGGGTAATGAAAAGCCCTTAAGAGTATAAATGACCGTACGTCCAGTAACAAAATCACAATAACTATTCTGCCCAGAAACGAACCGTAACGCTGGCGAAGAAGCTAGAAAGCTCCTTCATTAAATTAACAGAGAGATATTGCAAATATTGACTTATTACATGTATTGCACGTTTATTTCCTAATTTATACAACAACAAAAATAAATTCGATTTCAAAGAGGTGGGCAATATAATCGAAGTTAGAGATTAAGCAACGAGTTCCCTGAAAAAGTATCCAGAATAGCGGTTGAATATATTACTAAAGATACCGATGAGAGAGCAAGATTTAAAAACACTAAACGAAATTCTTCGTTTTCACCACAGAGTTTATCACATAGAATTCCTCCTATCGCCTCTTTGATGTACCCCGGTAACATCATAAATGCTCCGCACAGTGCCCATAATGTCCTGCTGGTGATAGGTGCATATAGCCAGAGATCGTGACCGGTGATCTATAACTTTGGAAACACATTAGCCTGAAGGCTAGTGCGTGTTTGTGGAGGAAAAGTACAGCCACTCGTGTTATATTTTACATTATATGAATTCAAAACAAAATGCTGCACTGGAAAAAAAAATCAGTGACTTTATCATTGATTTATAAACGACTCCTTCTTGTACGGGAATGGTAGAGAAAAACACTGGAGGCTGTGAAGCACGTGTCACTCTATGGCGGGAAAACACTGGAAGCTGTGAAACCAGTGCCATTTTATGTCTTCCATTTAGCCGGCGGGACAACACTAGATATACCCGTATAACGCCTTTCCCGCCTTTAGAGTGGCGTACCTTAAAATTCCACGGCTCGGAATAAAGTGGTATAATCCAAAACAAAAGGACTAACCCAGCACAGAGGCCAGGCAGCATACAATTATCAGAATTCAGAATTGTCGGTTGGTAGGGGTGGACTGGCCCTGAGTGTTATTTGTAGAAAACTGCTGCTGTTGTAAGAACCGTCCAACATGAGCAGACTGCTGGCTGTTGGACGCCTGGGCCTGTTGATTGTTCTGTCCTTGGAATGCGAACGACTGCTGCTTTTGCTAAAAAACAAATAATGAAAGAATAAGGAAATGAGAAG